CTCCTGAAGTTAATATAATTAAATCTTTTACATGTTCTGCTACACCCCCCCCTTCCATATTAAGATATTAATTCTAGGAATTAATCTAAAATCCAGATTCTGAATATGTTGCACGTGCTATATATTTCATAAACTGATAGCTTCTGTTCACGTTCGTGCAAGGGGAACAACTTCCTGCATAATAGAAAGGGGTTGAAGCACCCCGGAGTTCTTTCTCCGCGCAGCTCCGATCCGCGAAAGCTCGTCCAAGAATTCCATAGATCCCATCAGCATAGATAAACATTCTCTTTCTTGGCCGGGACGTTTCTCGCGGCAGGCTAGAGAGAAGCCGAGAAATAAGCGGTACTCTTTTGTGGCTCGGCCTACCCGTATCTCTTCTCCTAGCGTTGCTCCCTCCCCTCCCCCTCTTCCACCCTCCCCTATCCTCTAGTTCCTCTAGTCAAGACGCGGTGTATATTCGCGACGTTACACGACGGAGAAGGGATGGTATTGTGTCTCTACGTTGGTGTGTATATACGCTGTAACCGTGCAAATCCGCGGCCCTCGTTGTACAGGTATAATCGTTTATTTCGCGTCGACCTTTGCGGGGCACTACGTCAAAATGTCAGACACGACCCCGCCTGAGCGTAGGGAAGATGCACTGGGAACGTTGTAATGGGCTTACAAAGCGTAACAAACTGATGCGAGGTCAAACACACGACGGGCAATAAACACACGGGGAGATAAATGGGCCCTTAAGAGGTGCACGGGCATATATACCACCACGTCGGGGGAAAGTGTTTCATTTCGTTTCGGCTCCAACCACCTTCCACGACTTCCTTTTAGCTCGCTCGCTTTTACCTTTATTCTCCTCTTTCTTTTCTTTTTCTCCTTTTGCAGCTTTCTTCCGAGGCTAGAGCCGAGATAATGGCGAGTCGTTAATGATTATTTACAGGGAAACAGCAGGCAGATATTTATTATTAAATGATCGCGGGAGTCCTATCGAGTAAATCCTTTGATCTACCATCTTCAACTCGACGAACCGACATCGTCAAATTATCATCGCGTTATATATTATATTTACATTACATTGTATAAATTATTGTTATTTATTGAAGCATTTATATGTATAGAAATTTACACTAAACAGGGTTTATTTCAACCAGCAAAAGGTGGAGACAGGAATGTGTCTGATATATTTATCAACCTATTCAGAAGTAGTTTGAAAACTTTCGATGGAAGATGAAAGGGTGCATGCTCGCGAGCGCAATTACACGTTCATATCGGAATGATCGTGACGTTAACGTTCGAATTAGACAGTTGACAGAACGATATCGCGACCTCGGTTGCTTCGAGAGCTTCGAAGATGGGCATGAAGATCGCCGTAAGCCACAAGTGACTTACGAAGCGTAACAAAACTGACACGAGTTTAAGCACGGGACGGGTAATAAACACGCGGAAAGATAAATGGCCAGTTGGTCCAGCGTTGCACTCTCGAAGAAAGTGTATCATTTCGACTAGATCTTTTCGCTACGAGATAAATCGCTGTTGGATCGTCGGGGGTGGAAAGTTTGAAGGTTGCTGCGTTGTAAGCAGTAGAGTTTCCCTCTTGTAAAAGTTGTTCATTATTCGATTAATGGAAAGCCCGTGTCAGAAGCCAATCGACTGCTAATTTTCATGTAAATTTATATTTTTTGGAAATTTAATTTTAAAGATTGATAAATCGACAGTACTGTGTATTTTATTATTATTGGTTTATTGTTTTGTTATATTATTATTTTTTGGACTTTTTCACACTGCGTGCAGCCTGTGCAACCTTGTACTCTCAGATTTCCTACAAATAATATATCAAATATTCCAAAGGTTTCATCACTTTAATTTCCTCCGTAAAAGCATAAAATTGCACAAATATGCACAGCCTAGTTATCATGTATCAGAATTGATTCTTAAAATACATTGTATAATACATACAATTGAAAGTCAAAAAAATCTAAAGGAATCGTTCACACAAAATCTTCGTAACAAATTGTTTGAAAAAAACAAAAGAAACTAACAGATCGTGAAATGTTCGTTCCAGATGCCACAGACAGTACCTACCGCAGCCGGCTACTCGCCGTCATTCGATTACAGCACATTCCAGTTCGATTTGTCCCTTCTATCGGACGATTATGCAGCAACAAACACGCAGAACACGCTGAAGCCAGCGCATATCAAACAGGAGGCGCAGTCGCCTCGTCCTGGTTCGCCGACCGCTTATTCGAATTCACCTTATCCCGGCGCCGGTGGTGAACTGTCACCTAACTACTCGCACGAAGGTTCACCAGGATACCCGACCAGTCCCTATTACGTGCCCAGGAGTCCTCAAAGTGCTCAGTTCTACCCGACCAGTCCAGAACCCTCGGCGAAGCAACCAGTGAAAAGGGAGAAGAGCCTCGATCTTCTGGCCATCCTGCAAGAATCTAGGTAAGTCATCTTCTCCATTTCAGTGAATTGATCGATCGATTAGTTTGACAAATTGCACGACGTGGAATGAAGATCATTGTACAAATTCATATTCTTGTGAATTTACGTTGAAGCTTGTTAGGAGTGTTTTATATATTTTTATATATTCTGTGTACTCTACTTTTTGCCCTCTTAGAGGCTCGCGTTTTATGAAACTGCGTTTTCAAAGAGAAAGTCGCTTTTCTTATTTTCTTATTCCAACATCTATTTCGTAAATGTTTATTAATTTATGAATTATCCTATTTTTGTATACAGTAAAATTTATCGCTGATCTGAAACGTAAAAAGCATTCGAACAATAACGAGAACCAGTCTCCAAGTAACAAACATCCTGCGCGCCCTTGATTTCAGACTGTTAGCCGAGAGTCTGGGCTACAGGGAGGATTCGACCGACTGCACAGTGCCGTGCACGCCGCCCAGGACCGAGGAGGACATTTACAACAGCCTTGACGCGGACTTCTTTGCGAAGAAAGAGGATACCGCAGTGCAAGGGCATCCGTTGCTGAAGGAAATCCTGTTCAAGGAAGAGCCACGATCCAGCTGCAGCAACAGCAGTTCCAGCAACACCAGCAGTTCCTCCTCGCCATTGTCATCCTCGTCGTCGAGCGCTTCCTCCTCGCCAGATCCCGTGGAACTCGAGAACAGTTCCCCTCTGAGGAACTTGCTGTTCAAGGGCGCTAGGAAAGATTTCGCGGACGCCGCGATCGCGAGAACAAATGTTCTGAAACTCGAGAGAATACAGGACGAGGTCAGGAATCCTCTGCAAAAGGAGGAGGAACTGTTCAAGGACGGGCAAAAGAGCGACCATCAGTTGCTCAGGGAAGTACTGAGGGACACGAGCTTCCAAAGGAAGTACAATCTGAGACCGGTGGATCTGGGCAGCGTCGGGACAGGGTTCGTGGAAGACATGGAAGCCGGCGAATGCGTCGGCGACCTGACTAGAGAACAGATCGAACCTGTCCTTAGCCTTGCCATCCAACAGCTGCAGAAGGACTTTGACAACACTTGCGTGGCACTCGGTATTCATCCTGGTGAGTGATCATCTTTCATTAATTTTCATCAGTCGTTTAGCAAATTTGCTCGAGGAAATTGGTAACTTTGTACAAATACTATTCCTGTTGCAAACAGGATCTCCAAAGAAGTCTTGATATTTCACGTTATCGTGAATGCACACGAAATTGTACAAAAAACGGGATTTTCTGTAAGCGTCAACGTCAATAATTAAGAACATCATTGATCATTTATTTCTACCGGAAGTTTTTTTTAATCAGAGGCATTGACTCTGACATTTCACAACTGTCGCGATGATGTTTGCTGTAAATAAGCGAAAATAATAAAGAGGCTACCTCGAGATTGAAATGATTTAATCAAAAGTAAAAAGATTAGGGAAAGGTCAAAGCGCACTTCCAACCAAAGTCAATATTGTTAAGAAAAATATTGTCGCGAGGCAATTGTAGAGTGATAAATGAATATAAATGCGGAAAGATGTGATCTCGGTAAGTAATAAGAAGATGCGTGAGCTTAAACCTTCTTCTGCTACCTTGCCCCGGGCGAACGTTCGACGTTATCTTCGTGGACGTAGGAGCGACCGGTTCGAACTATTAGCTGGTCGCATGATGTCACGCTCGGAATAAGTTACAGAGTCACATCATGCTTTCACGTACGATTACGAAATTTCGAGAGCTTCGCCTCAAGGTCGTGCTGTTGCGCTTCCGCTACTTTTCTAACGTCAATGCCTACGATCGCGTCATGATAGCATGACACATATGAAATGAAACCAAAACAAAAAAAGAGTAAAATACGTGTAACACAGAATATAGTGGCAAGCTTTACTATGGCAATCAAGTACCAAGTTTATGGCTGAGTCTAACATTGTTAGAACTATAAGGTATATATTCTAAAAACTCAAAATATTGTGAACCATTTCCAAAACGATATTACTCTCACATTATCCACCAATTTAAATTCTTGAAATTCATCATTATGCGTCGTTTCGTTTTTCGACTAACAGACACAACCCCGCGAAGATAGTAATGATGAGCGTCGCGATCAGGCGTAGAAAGTTTGACAGTGAAATCGAAAGTGAACTGTGCCGATCGCGTGTCGCGAGATCTCGCTACATGCATTCTGGCGAGACAGAATGATGGTAAGAGATTCTCCGAAACAAATCTTGCGAGTACTAGACGTATGAAATTAACAACAGAAAATAGCTTCATTAGAAGGAAATAAAGTGAAGGAACAACATAACAACGAGAGTAATCAAGTATCAATATTTATTTACTTTTTTATTTCATTTTTAATCAACGTGCAACGGAAATTCTTAATAATTGTTATTTCTCTGACGAACTCGTTTTTTTCCTAATCTTTGACGCTTGATAATCGAGGGGCTCGTGTCTACTTAATAGGCAGCACGCAGCGATTACAAAAAACAGTGGTTTTTTTTTTTTTAATTTGTACAAAAATATAATTGCAGAGCCACGACGTTGGAGCGCGGCGGACGTAGCAGCGTGGATCCAATGGGCCAGGAGGCAGTTGCAATTGCCCTCGGTGCCACTGGAGAGCTTCAACGTGGACGGTGCTACGTTAACATCGCTGACGGAAGAGGAATTCTGTCAGCGTGCCCCCCAGGTGAGTCCGAGAATAATCTTACGAAAGATTGACTACGGAGCTCTCTCTCTCTCTCTCTCTCTCTCTTTCACTCCCCTCTCTCGAGTCTCTGTCGTTGGCCAGAGCTCGTCTGCTTTTAAATCGGCCAGCGCATAAGTCGCACTTTCAGCGAGTACCGTTACGCAACGCCAGTTCCTCGAGACAGACGAGCAAACGACGATTACTCGCTGACCGTTTTAACGAAGCAATTAGTCAGTGGAATTTCGTGGTGTTTCGATGAATTGCCGGTGCAAAACGTTCGGTCAGTGGATGATTGCCGTCGGCGATGAACGCGCGTCATCCTGCCGATGACGTTCAATAACCGAATAAGAGAATCATGGCCGGCAGATGAGGAAGCTCCAATAGTTATATATAATCGCGTCAATTACTTGAAATTGGTCATTAGCCGGTCGTATGAAGTTATCAATTCGACTTTCGGTTCTGAATAGAAGCAAGCCATCGATTAACGCATTCTAATAACGATCAGACACGTGTTTGTTTATGTGAGATATTTGCCTGATCTTTTTTTTATATCACGTGGGTATCGTACGCATTTTCACGATTTCAAGTCTCTGACCGATCTGTTTTTGTTGTACAGTTGTTTTTTCTCTACGAAGTGTTTATAAAATATTAATGAAATTGCAAGTCTACATATGTATTTTAGTGTCTGTTTAATATACATTCTCACGTGGCAGGGAAATTTCAATCAACAATCCCGATAGACAGGGGAATCCTACAAGGAAATAATTCGAAAAGTTTCGCAATTCCTCGATCGGAGAGAATCTCGGAAAGCGATGACTCATAAATGAATATTCCCAATATTGGTCGATGAAAAAAGACGCCTACAAAGAAATAATCGCGCTTTGAGACAACGTTTCATCTCTCTGGTCGCGTTCCTCGAACGATGCCGATCATCGCGCGTAGAATTTTGCGGTCTGAATGGTTGTTCCTCCTTTCGCGAGAAGAGAAACGAAATTAAAAGGGTTGATCCGGCCCACGTTCGATAAAAAGAAACTAATGGCGCGAGTCACTCTTGGAGGAACTCGCTCGTGGGCAAGGTCCGGTGAAAGTGAATTTCCTGGAGATCGGTTGACGTTCTTTCCTCGTAATCCATACTGAACGGGCTAGGAGGAACGACGCGGTATGAGTAAGCAATAATGAGCGTAATAATACGGTTTCTGCCGCTTAACGGAACCGGGATTCTCCCGATATACCTTTTGTACGTCGCCGCGATCGCAGATTTCTGTACTCTCTGAACTCGATAGACCGTTACTGGCAACGAGTAGAATCGACGCGCGAATATAAATAATCAGGTTCAGCGAATTTGCATTTGAAGAATCTTAAATAGGTATCTGTCACAAAGGAACTTTGCAGTTTACTTTGCCAGCATAATTTTGTATTTTAAGTATGCACTCAGTCGAAGAAGTCTCTGCATATCACGTTGAATGAAATGTAATTTTTTTAATGTCAAGTGCAGACTGACTTTTTGGACTTGTATTTGTATCTTTCATCAGTTTACTGTGCTGTTCTTCTATCTCGGCAAGGAACATGTAATCTTATCTTCTTATTTAGTTTATTGGAAGATCTTAGCCAAATCGATCTTAAATGTACAAGAAATTTCATCAGAATGTTCCCTGTTTTTCTATCTCGACGAAGAATACGTAATCTTGTTTCCTCGTTTGCTTCGGTAGATCTTGTATCTCTGCTCAGTTTTCATCCAGCTCCACTTAAACAGCCACGATGAAGATAAATCAACTCCTGTTAACATGAATATAAAATGCCTTTGTCTTGATTTAGTAATTACCCCTTGAATTGTTCACGTGTTACGAAAACAAAATATTCGTATAATAGACGTGAAACATTCTGTCAGCCCCCCGGAGAATCATGTCGCAATGTCAATGTACATGTAACATTTATGTCGTTCGAAAAATTGCTTTGAAGCAGAAAATATTTTTTTTTTATAAAGAAAAATAACACAAGTGGTAAAATAATCAAAGGAGGATTAGAATAATAATCGAGGGTTAAATTAATCGGAACGAACGATTTCCAAAAATGTCGGGATAACGGTGTTATACGAAAGGGGGCAATAACTCCTGGCCAATGTCTCGTATCAGTGTGTCCAAAGCTGAACTCGTCACGATCCGTGATGAGACGCGGCGCAATTTTACAGTGCAAAAGTTAACGAAGATTAGGGAAACCGATGATCTCGACGGTCTCTGTTTCTTAAAATCATACGCCGAGCACGTAATGGAAATTAACAGCGAACAGACCGACTACACCTACATTAGAGCAGAGATATGGTGGTGGTCATGCATAATGGATTTAACTTTATATCTTGTAATTGGATAATTGTACCACGCTGCAATCCACCGCTGACTCGTTAACATAGAATCACGATCGGACTCATGATCACGTTGCTATCCGCAATTTCGCGAATTCTTTTTCATCGGTCGCGTACCATGTAAGCCCCCACTCTGAAAATCATCTCAAGGTTACAATAAATTTTAACAAACCGTGCAGCTCTTTTTTTTCTTTTTTATTATTATCCATTTTAACCTACTGACCAATTTCTCATAAAAATAGAAGTTCCTTTTTGGATAATAGTATTCGCACACACATTCACAAACGTTTACAGAACTTCAGTTAGTTACAGTTTATTACGTTATTACTACGAGTATGTTTCCTTTTTCTTTTTTTTTAAATTTTCAAGCAGCTGTAGAATTTGAATGGAAAGAATGGTAATGGAAAACAATATTAAACGAATCCTTTGGAATTATTTTTCATGATACAGCCGTCATAGTTTCATAGTTGGTTCAAATCATCGGGATTCACCTTTTCACCAGAGAAGTGGATGTACCGCATACTAGTTTGTTCTTTGAATTATAGCTATATCTTCAAGTTTCAAAATAGTTAATTTAGTAAGAATAGCAAAATACTTATAGTACACTATATCAAGTGTTAATATAAAATGTACAATAACATATTAATTAATAAATATACATATAAATTATGTTTCGTTCATTAAAAACTGCGTCATATATTTGCTCATTTAAAGACTAAGCTATCTCCATCTGTTATCTGTTTCTATCCATTGAATAACTGTATAATATGCGTTGGTTGATCGAGTTTCTTTCATATACATGATACACAGGCCACTTACCTTCGTTCGTAGTAGATATTCATATAATTGGGACGATGCTCGGGACTCTAGTCCCAATAATAGTCATGAAAATTTTCAAGTTGAAATAAACGAAGTTCGCAAATAAATTCTTTTCTGATCCACTCGATTACGAACAAAGCTCAAGTCGTAGTTCACCAGAAGAAAAAAAAAAAAAGAAAAAAGGAACCATCAGAAAGGAAACCACAGGAGAGAGAGAAAGGGACTGGGTAGAGCACATGTTCGTTAAATGCAAATGTTCGTTGGTAATAGAATGGTCGATAGATTTTTAAATCGGTTGGAACTACTTTGGTCCCATGCCTGGTCGGGGGAGTGTTCAAACGAAGCACGCGAGTTGGCTCCCCGTGTAATTTCCAAGCGAGCGAGATCGCGTCGCGGGCATGGTGTTCGATCCACAGAAATCGTTCGGGGGAATCGGATTCCCAGCGGTCGATTATACAGCGCGGTGGCTCGCACGCCGAACAAACATCCATAACGAATGCGGGATATCACGTTAATGACTTCTTCTGTGATGAATTATTTAACCCGCGGGGAATCGCGTTCAATTTCAGGTCAAAGGCAAAACGGTTTACTCGCGGTACCGTGATCCTTCTGTTCTAGACAGCGAGGAACAATGAGCGATCGCGTATGAAGCTCGGTTATCGATGGTATTCGTGCGAGCACGCTTCGATCGAAACAGGGTTGTGAAATTTGTGGCTGTAACGGTGCGCGAAGAGAATCGAAGAGGCTTACACACGATGAAGGGGAAGTTGCTCGCGAAAGTATTCGAGCATTTAATACCAGTTTCTTATGGATATATTATGTGTATCGCCACGTGAGACATCTTGAAAATTTCGTTGACACTGTAACGGTTATATCGGTCAAGTTTTTGGAACAAGTTCAAAAATGTATAGTAAAAGAAATAAGCCATGATATCTAGTTGAGAATATTTGACAGTCATTAATATAAGATGGTTATTCACACTGTATACATTTGGAATGCATACATGGAATATATACATTTTCACATTGGTTATAAGTTTTGCCATTGTAATACATGTAATCAACTATCACTTGAAACTGTTATTAAAATTATTATTATTAATGAAGATGATCAAAAAGTCAACATTGGATATTATCGTCGAAAAAAAAAATCGTCAAAATCGAAAACGCGTGAACGTTGTAAATTAATCATCGCGACCAATTGCAGTGATCCATCGTGGTCGCCATCGTCGTTTCTAGATGCTAGTAGTTCGTTAGCGTTTTGCATAGGACATCCGACAGCACGCGTGTGACGCGAGTCGTCGTCATGTGCAAGATCCGTACGGCGCAGCGTGTAACTGCATCGAAGGTGCGTTGGATCTCCCCGCGCGGTTCCCCTCGCGGGATCCCGTGTGTTCCAGCTTCCAGCGAGTCGAGGAACAGGACTGGTGGTCGCGCGCATACATACGTGCACGGGACGCGCTATTTGCCCGGCAGAAACGAACGAAAAGTGGGTCAACGGCTGGCTGAACGTCTCGCTCGCTCGACTGCCTGTTGCGTCTCAGCGGAGCCGCTTTCTCTTCCCTCGCGGCGCAGCGACAACGTCGTCGTAGGAATTCTAACTCTTATGGTGTGATCCAACCTCCCACTTCAAATTCCTCTTCTTCTTCTACTACCACTTCTTCTTCTTCTTCTTCTT